ACTATGGGCATTGAAGTCACCTAAAAGCAATAAAGGTTCTGGGAGCTTCTCTATTATTCTTTCCAACTCTCTCTGATCAATATGCTCGTGTGGAGGTAAATAAATGGTGCATACAGAGATTGAAAAGCGTACATTAATCTGAACTGCCACAGTCAAAGGAAGAGCAATGTAAAGGTGATTGTGGGAGGTGATAAGGCCCACACCACCACAGGCATGATCCCCTTTCTTACGGTTGCATATCTCCGTATCTTAGCATGTCTGCTTGGTTTTAACAAGGTCTCCTGAAGCACAAGGCAGGCAGGTTGATGCATGTTTATTAAACCCTTGATGTTACCCAGGTTTTGGCGAAAACCCTGGCAATTCCACGAAATAAATGTACCCATTAATGGATGCTTGTTTTGGCGGCGTTGGTGTTTTGACTTTCGAGGCAAAAGGTGTTTCGGAAGGGATAACCCTTTTTCAATGTCCATTTCGTCTGAGTCGTCTAAGAGTCCTGCAGTCATGCTTGCTATGGAACTTTGACTGGGAGTCCTGGGTTTTTGCTTATTTTTCTCTTTGATACCATCTCTATGTTTTTTCTGTTGGACATTCTGTTTTCCTTTGGGCCCAGTCACCGGTGTACTAGTTTCAACATCAGGTTTTTTCCCTGATTTTTGGTTTCTAGGATCTTCTGTCGTTGCTAGTTCTTTTTTTCTGTGCAGTAATTATGGTTTGCGTTGATATTGATCTGAATGATTTTGTTGCGGATGCATAAGATTTATTAGGTCTTTGCTGATTAGAGAGAACAAGTCTTTTGGCTTCTGCAAATGATATCTTTTGTGTAACTTTAATGTTCTGAATTTTTTTTTCTGTCTGCCATTTCGGTACAAGATCTTGAAAAACCTGGATGGTCGCCTTTACAGTTTATACACAAGGGAGCAGCAGAGCAGCCTTCACTAGCATGGCCTATGATGGAACATCAAGTGCATGTGAGGCTAACGTGATAAGAGGTCTTTCCATGTCCAAAGCGCTGACATTGAAAGCAATGTATTGGATTCAGTATATATGGCCTGAATGAACAGTTTAGGTATCCAGCTTTGATGTTTTTAGGCAGGTTAGCAGAACTAAAAGTAAGTATGACATGTTTAATGGGAATAAGTTGACCTTCTTTCCGCATTTTGATCCTACAAGCACCACACACGTTTTCATCTGCCAACGCTTTAACAAATTCCTCTTCAGTTACTGACAATAAGTCTATTTCAGAGATTACTCCTCGGGACGAATTTAGAGTGTTATGTGGCTTAACTACAATGTTTGGCTGTCCTAATTTAGTTAGTTTCAAAAGACTATTAGACTGCTTTCCAGACACAGTTTCTATCAAAAGGTCTCCAGATCGAAGTCTCTTAATATTTTTCAGTTATCCTACAGAAAACAAAAGATGTTTGTTTATTAGAAAGGGTGACATTTTTTTCAATTCTTCAGAGCTGGTTATAATTAAGGAACAAAGTACATCTGACGCAGTGCTTTCTATGTCGCTTCTTAAGTCTTTTAGTCACAGTCGGAGTATCGGGTACATTGTTGGAGCAGGAAGGTATCATAGCATTCATATTTAAATTGAGAAAGATTCGGGTCCGACCACCCCACCCACCATGGAGCATAACAAGGGGACGCAGATTCCTATGCCAAGGCTAGCCGGACCTATACACAATCTGAAGTCCCACAGTTGGCTTTCCCAAAAGCAGGTACTCCCAAGAGCTTGTCCCCAAGCCACTGACACAAGGACTAGTGACAAGCCAATTGACACCCGTGAGGATGACAAGGTGCCTCCCGTTTAACTGAAGCAGAAGCCAAAGCAGTGTGTTGGGGACAGTACCTCGTCCTTCAACTACCAGGACCCTCCTTTCCAGTGACATGGATCTCCACGCACGCAGTTTTCTCACCATTCGAAGAACTAGGGACAAGGCTGTTCCAGTTTCTTATGACGAGTCCAAACCTCGGAAGAGGAATACCACAAAGCAGAAGAAAAAGAGAAAAGTTGCAGTTAAGAGGAGGGGAGGCAGAAAGGAGGAGAGATCACTGGGGTTCCAGGATTGTGACACCCGATCACCGAGACAGTAATCCCCTGAAGGATCTTCACCTGCTATGCTTTAGCTGGGCATATTGAAATGGCCTTCATGTCTAAGGTGGCCCTACCAGGAGTTATGCTCCCAACATACTTCGCTCATTCTGCCCAGTGACACCACCCCCATCATGTTGAGGCAGCATAGCAGGACTTGGGGGGGGGGTAGTATCTCTTGTGTTATGTAACATGAAATTCGTCTAGAAAGTAAAGCTACATCGGAAAAATAAGATTACAGGGGCAAGGCATTTAATATTGAGGTAAATGGCTATTCTGGCAATGCATCGAGGTGACGATGGTTTTGGTGACTAATTTTCTCCACAAATTCAGTAAGAAATGACCAAAAGTTGACATACTTTATAAGTAAGGAGAGAGCATTAGTTCTCAGTTTACTTCAGGATTGCGTATAGACTATTGAGAGATCTCCACGTAAGCTTCGCTCTTTAGACGTCCTTTGCACTGCATTCTGTTTAACGTTCTTAGTAGTTTGAAGGGGGTAATTACAGATTGTATTCTGTCATATAGAGAAGAGCTGTACGAAAAGTTTTATGAAAAGTTCTGAACCTGTAAAATGCTTCTTTTGAGAAAAATTCTATCGAGCTATTGTCGGTTCTGTGTGCAGTCAATCCATTATCAACCTGTATGCACACAGCAATACCAATATTAATCCTACTGAAATTATTATGTGATTAAAATAATATAGAACAGTAACATAAAATGCTGTTTCTTGAATACCAACCTAGAGTAAACTTTATTTCATTTTTCTAGTTATTTCTGTAATTAAAATACAATAATTTTATTGTTTTGAGATTTTAAGCTATATTCTTCAGTCTATTTCTTTATGAAAATATGTCTTTTAAGACACCACAACTGGAAGAAAACCAAACACAGCCATCTGTATACACCAACAATAATCATAAATTAATATTTTAACCATTTGAATTTGTTCCTTTAAAATCTTTCCACTTATATAGCTTATGATACAAGTAGATGTATTTCATTTAAAAAGTCTATTAGTCACTTTTCCTTTTACAAACATGCAAGGGAAATAGAACATCACCTGCTAGAGAAAATCATGGACTTTAGTGTACTTGCATGAATTTTCCAACAAGATATTCTGTCAACAGCTCAGTGAATGCAAAATGAGGTCAAACAAGATTTTAGAAATATCTTCATATATTTTATTAGGAATTATAGTTTGTCTTACCTATATAATAATGAATTAAATATCAACAAAAATGACAAGAAGTGTAACAGGACAACCTCAAGCATGAATCCAAAGTCATAGACCAGTATATATGCTTTAAAAACATAAAACTGATGTTTAATAAGAGGACAAACTGAAACTTGACCAATTCTAATTTGATGCAAATGATTTTACTTGGGGTTTAGGCACTGCCATACAATAGCAAAATTGTAACCAAAGCACCTATGAGAAGCAACAGTTCCAGTTTCATATCAATAGGAAAATGATGCACTAACAGGGGTTCTCAACCAGACAGGAATCTCCGCAAGGAGATGTTTCAGGTGGGAATGCAGTCATCCTTTTATATACCTGTTAAGTACTTAGTTTTAGTTTATGAATATAAAAAAATATTTTAATGCAAGTTTTGGTATTTATCAACATTTTCTGTAGTTTTTCTTGTTTAATTTAAAATAAATGTACATGTATTTTTCGAATTTTTTAAAGGATGGAGAAAGTTTCGTGTTTTTAAAAGGATGATTGCCTAGCAATGGTAAAGAGGGTGCATGGAGCAGAAATGGTTGAAAACAGCTGTAGTATGACAATCAGAATTATATTTCAGGAATATAAATTAAGAACAAAATTCTATTACATTAAACCATATTATTGAATATTCATCTGATGACCCTTTATAACAAGCTTATAGCAATGGAAGTATTTTTCTCTAAGTCTGTTGAATTACTGGATACCTATTTTAAAATAATTTAGCTGATGACGAGTTTTAGAGTGTATGTATATAATCCCTAAATGTGAAATTAAGGCTTAGAAAACACATCATGTTCAAAATAAAAGTTCTGGTATTCATTTTCCAATTACATTATCCATTACAGATACCTTCCGGAAATGGGAAAAAAAATGCCTACAAAACTATTATTAGCAACTGTCCATCTCCAGTTCAACACAGTGCAATGCAATGATCACAAAATAATGAAAATTGCGGTAGTTGCAATTCCTTCACTGCAATTTTGAAGCAATTAATTTCTTATCCAGAAATTTTGCCTAAATACATAATATCACAGATTCAGCAGTCTTTCCATTTTTCTTAGATGTTTCCTAAACTCAAAAATTCATTGAGAAGTATAAAATTCAAAGCTTCAAAAGTGATGATGGCAAATTCAACTCTGAAGAACAATGTAAAAAATAAAAGGATTTTTGAGCAATATATACATATAAGGTTTGATAAACAAGAACAAATATCAACTGCAAAGATTAATTTAGTTTACCAGTTAGCCTACTTAAAATATATTCAAAAGATATGCAATATTTACAATGATTATGATGATATAATGATAAACTCTTATTTCCTGTAATATGTTTTAACTCAAAATCTGGTTTCTGGGTCATGAAGCTTTTGTTATTCATTCACCAGTGATTCAAATTCAAATGACATTTTAAAACACATTTTTTTTTCAATCTGATTGAATTTACTTAAGACTGTTTGTTTATAACACACCAACTGAGATATCAGCTGAATATGCTACATTTTCCAATAATTTTGTTAAGATACATTTCAGTTAAAAGTATACTTTTAAAAACCTTGCTCATGTAGCAGTTAAATACTTAACTAATTGAAATTTAAATAAATTTAACTGAAATTATTATAATGAACATTTATAACATTTATACTGCAAAACAATACTTTGTTCCTTCATGACTTACCATGATTATGTAAGTTATCAAATTAGGAAGCATAGTCAATGGAAATCGCAGAATGTTAAACAAAGATAACGACACAAATGCTGTTGATGCATCAAGCACATTATTTTCATCCACGAGAACGTAACATGCAAAAGAAGCCAAGGCAACCTGAAAAATAAACATATCTGGTTTGTAAAAGCTACAAAATCATTCCTGCCAATTTTTTAATTTTAAAATTTACAACTAAAAACAGAACTCCTTTTATTAAAAAAAACTTATTATCAGTTCATTTTCAGAATTCAATCTGCCTATATTGCCAACAAAAATCAAGTATACAAGTTATTTCATGCATAAACCATCTTTTGAATAAGTTTTTCTTTCTTCATAAAATGAACGTATGTTAACAGTAAATCTGCATTAGTATTTGGCAAGGTTGACTCATTAACCTGAAAAGAAAATTCAGAGGGTATTAAAAGTTTGCATAAGGTAGCTTCAATATCTTCAGCCATCTCATCAATTTATTGTCACACCGCATCATTGCTTCATGAGACATTTTTTATAACACTGGATGTTGCTGGATGGCATAAAAATATTTCTAAAAGTTCCTTGATGTACAGCAGTATCATCTCTTTGCTGATGGTATGAGCTTTCTCAAATTTAGCAATAAATTTTGATATATTATTAAGAGGCTATCAAACCATCATCACATTTTTTTGATGAGGTTGCTAGTAAGCTTGAAACAGATTGTGCCTTCAGAAACTTGTCCTTGATGTTTGTGAAAAGTGACAAATTCTTATTTTATTTTGTAGGATGAATCTTTTAAAGCTGTTCTTGCAAATGTGACAGTTTCATTGCATTATTAGATAATGTTACAAAGTAAACACATGCTTAGTTGTGAGTTAAATGGTGAAAGAACAAATCTGAACTTTAACCCAGCGGAAGTCACACCAAGAAAAGTTACTAGAGTGGGCACGCAGAGTATCACATTCATCAATATTTAAAAAGCGATAAAAATAGTTTCACTTAGTTTTAAAGCTGTTTTTCTTGTTCTCGTGTATTATAAACATGTGAATAATAATTAGATTTCAAAAAATTAATTTCCAAAAAAATCTTAGATTTAAAATTAAGATAAATGAAAATAATAAAAAAATAAACATCATGCCTAAGTTTCACTGCATCTCTAATACACAATGCTTATTTCTTTACACTTTGAACAAAATACATTCATGTGTTTTTGGCACAGAATGTTTTCACATTTTAAACATTGCATTCACGTTCTTCTGTCCTTGGCACGAGGGAAATTTATCACATCTTTCATACTTAATTGTTTCGAATTTCATGTATTTGTTTTAATTCTTCGTTGAAATTTCTGCTTTTGTTTTGCATGCAGTATGTCACTTTCTTGGTAAAGTATTAATCTCTGATCTTTGTTCAATTTTTTTTTTCATTAATTGTAATGTTAAGTCCTTAAAAAACAGACTTCTGTTTCTGAATGGTGGATCAGCAGTTGAATGTAATATAATTCAAGCATTTTTTACAGCAACATTCAGTGCAGGAAAGAAAATTACCATTGGCCACTTTCTTGTTATTCTGGCAATTGAATAATTGGCTGACATTTCATCCCCCCATATCAACTGCTCCTTTAGTCATATTATAAAAACATATAATTCCTGACGTTTTATTTTCTCCAATAGCATCATCTATAGTATGATCATTATATAATGTTGAAAGCATAAAAACAGTTTTTCCTTTTTTAGGAACATTAGAAATTAATGTTTTATCTTTTTCGATACCAAAACAGTATAGAAAATATTCCTAGCTTCATCTTCAGTTTCCAAAAGGCAATCTTCATCTCTTTCAAATATTTCTAATAAATCTCACAGGCGTTGCATCTCCAATTCATAGGGAGTCATTCTTTTTACCATAATGCAGCTAGAAATTTTAAGAATTTAATGTCAAGTACTTTAAATTCACTTGCGAGTAGAAATATTTGCTGTTACACTCTGGAAATAAATTTCTGAACTAAATATTCAGTCAGAAAAACACTTGCGCGGACAGGCGCATGGGGTGTGTCATACGCCAGATTCAACAAAATACCGGTAAATCTTTTTCTGAAACACACAGGCAAAGAAAAAGCGGTTCTGAAAGTCAACCACAACTAGAAACTCTGCTATTGAATGCAGCACAGAATTTCAGTTTCGCAAGTTAGGAATATTCCACTTTATGTAGGAGTGGGGTACGATACACCCCACGTGCTTTCCCACAGGTTAAGTATGTGGAACTGTATTAAAAACACTTCTTTTTACTAAGTGACATCATTGGTGGCAGTAAAATATGATGAAGGGAAGATAACCATTTCTCAAAATTAATAATTCATGATCACAATATAGAACTATTAAGCGCACTTACCCAGCTGACTGGCTAAAAAACAATGAAAGTAAATTGAAACTGAAGGGGAAAAATAGAAATAAAGTGACCAAAAAGTAACACAAGAAACCCGGGTCAAACCAAACTTCATACTGAAAGGACACTCAATGCATGTGCTACGATTAATCACATGCAAAAACAGTTGACACATGTGCTGTGCTGTTTAGGATTGGAGAAGATGGTCCTGCAAACAAGACAGTTTCATCACCTCATTAGATTGTACTTTGTTACAAAGTAAACATGTGGGTAGCTGCGAGTTCAAGAGCAATTGAAAAAAACCTTAACTTCAGATACATGGAAATGTATTAAAAATATTTCTTTTTATTGACTGATATCATTCGAAAGAGCAAAACATGGCGAAGGAAACAAGTTGTAGAGTTTTTCAAAGTCATCCCACCTAGAATATAAATTCATCTCCCCACCCTTAAGAGTTGCATGAGGGAAGCCAATGCTAGTGCCTTTTATTGCCAGTACAAATAGATAATCAACATAGATGGTAAAAATTAATATATATAAAGATTTTCTACAGTCTTTTATATGGACTAAGATGGTCTTAGCTATTAAATTTTTACCATCTTTAAAATAATCTTTGAGAGTATTAAAAATAGATTCAACTTTAGTATCTGCAATCAAGTTTCTTGCATAAAGCATCTCTTGATTAATTCTTTCTTACTTCATAAAACAAACCCATGCTAACAGTAAAGCCTCATTAGTACTTAACAAGGCTGAGTTATCAACCTTGAGAGATGCATAATGATTCACAATCATCATGCATCTACAATCATTATCATCAATCATTATTTATGCATTAATGATTCACAATCACAATAAAGAACTAATAAGCCCACTTACCTCGCCGGCTGGCCAAATAAACAACAAAAGTAAACTGTTGTGCTATCTGAAGATACTGAAGCTACCTTATGCAAACTTTTAATACCCACCGAATCTTCTTTTCAGGTTAATGAGATCGATTTAAGAAATTTTTACCATCTTAGATTATAGATAGCGGTCTTCATATCCAATGGTTATATATATTCTTACCATCTTAGTCCATAATTAATAGATTTTTTACAGATAATCCACTTATGAAATTTTTGGAAAGTTTTAAAATTAAGTTAGAATGCCAAAGCATGCTTATCACTCCTCTACCACTCAAAATATGCCCACCATCCATGTTGAAAATGAATGAGTTAAACCACATGCAGAAAACTTCCCTTTGCTGTGAATAAAATTTAAAGATAAAAATCTCTCATATTTGCGAAAATTAACAACTCAAAGTTTCCTGAGCTAGCTTATGAGGCAAAATAAGAGTAAAGATACAGTATAAAGCATGATGAAGCTACATATATTCCTTGCTCAGCTCATAGTTAAAATTTAGTATGCAAAAATGCCGTTTCTACAAATTCAAGTGTGTTAATATTTTTTAGAACTGTACACAGGATTTGTAACTTTTTTGTACCTTCAACATGAAGCTGGAATACATTATGTCCATTTTAAAAATGGCATTAAAAGGTCACACAGATACACAATGGGCATCAAGAGCAAATGCTGTTAAAGAATTAGATCTACAAGTATCCAAAGTATATCGGTTATTAAGAGATATGGCATTAAATAATAAATCTTTGCCATGGGCTAAAAATGACAGCATTCTGAAACAAATTAATTTAAAATTTTTATATTTGTTACCTGCAAAGAATTTAATATTACAAGAAATTGAAAAAGTAAATAAAGCCTTGTAGTCCAAAACTACAACTACACTCTCAGACACACACACACACACACACACACACAAACAAAAAAAAAAAAAAAAAAAAACCAAGGAGTTAACTGAATGGGATGAAAATTGGTAGAAGTGATGTACATGTACAGAAAAAAAATGATTACAGTTTCAGAAAAATTGGATAATTTATTGAAGTGACAGAGCTTCACAAAGTGAAAAAGTCAGTAACGCGTTTGTCCATCTCTGGCCCTTATGCAAGCAGTTATTCAGCTTGGCATCGATTGATAGAGGTTACGGATGTCCTCCTGAGGGATATCATGTCAAATTCTTTCTAACTGGCACATTAGATCGTCAACATCCCAAGCTGGTTGGAGGGCCCTGCCCATAATGCTCCACATGTGCTCAATAGGAAAGAGATCGGGTGACCTTGTTGGCCAAGGTAATATTCGGCAAGCACTAAGGCAAGCAGTAGAAACATGTGCAGTGTGGGGGCGGGCATTATCTTGCTGAAATGTAAGCCCATGGTGGCATAGCATGAAGGGCAACACAACAGGCCTTAGAACTTCGTCAACGTAGCGCTGTGCTGTAAGGTTGTGACGAATGACAACCAAAGAGGTCCTACTATGGAATGAAATAGCACCCCAGACTATCACTCCTGGTTGTCAGCCTGTCTACCGGAAGACAGTCGAGTTGGTATCATCATACCACTGTCCGGGGCATTTCTAGACTCATCATTGAAGACTATTCTACTCCAGTCAGTTACATTCCAGTGCAAATAAGCCTGTTACCACTGCAAATGGGCTTGACGTTGTACAGATGTCAATGGTAGTCGGCACAGGGATCGGCGTGACCTCAGCACCCTTTCTCTGACCCGTCTTTGAATGGTCCTTGTGGTCACTGAAGCACTAGTTGCACTTACAATCGATGATAATGATGCATCTGGGTTTGTAAGTGCCGCTCTGATGATTGCTCGGTCTTCATGTTCTGTAGTTTCTCTAGGCCTACCGCTTCCTTCTTGATGCTGTGTGCAGCCATGGTTCACACATTCCTGACAACATCGTCTAATAGTAGCATCACTCCTGCTCAAATGTCGAGCTATTCGCCGATCAAACCAACCAGCTTCTTCGAGCCCAACTACACGACCTCTCTTAAATTCTGACATCTGCGCATATTGTTCGCACACCTGTATGCGAGGCATAGTTACTGTCTACCAGAGTACACGAAATGAAATTCGTGAAGAATTTATGACCTGGAATCGTTATTTCTTCTCTTAAATATCCTGCCAGTTGTGCAGATCAGATGTGCTGTAGAAACAACCGTTCATTCATTGGCAGCCAAAATGTAAAATTTTGCATTTTCTGTCGAAACTTGTATGCATATCAATTTGTGTCCAATTTGATTTACATCTTCTCGGTCCATCGTTATGCGCCTTTTTTTTTTTTTTTTTTTTTTTTTTTTTTTTTTTGTCTGTCCAAGAGTGTATTTATAAAGCCACATGCTTAATAGAGGGCCTATGTGTTTCATTACAAGAAATTAGAGAAAATATTTTTCAATCCATTTTTCAAAAAAGGTGAGACTTCAGCTTTTGGGATGAATGTATCATCAGAATATAATAGAAACAAAAGCAAAAGGTTAATAAATCAAATTGTGAAGATTCGATAGGTACGAACTGCAGTTTTTTAGAAAAATATATTTTTAAAAAGATTAAAGAAGTGTTAGATATTTTGATTTCATAATTGAAATGGTGATACAAAAATTTTAATGAAATATCTTCCCATTTTCACTGTTTAATCAGTGAACAATTAATGTCATTTATGATGAAGTCTAGCATTAGGAATGGAGACGAATAAATAAGCAGAGATTCATCTGGATTAAGATATATTGAAATACAAAATCATTATAGGCGCAGTAAATGTTGCATGGTAAGCATGGTAAAGTAAACAAGTGACAACAACTGAAAACATTGCCAAAAACTAGAAATAAAAATCGTGTTGCCACACATGTTGCAAAATACAAATGGGAAATATAATCATAAATTAAATGTTATTTGCAACAATTTAAGCAATTCAAAGTCAGCAGCTTGTAACTTAAATATCCCAATTATATGAATGCTGAAGAAATTCAGTCCTATATCCAATTTTAAAAACCAAGCTATTTCAATATCTAATTTTATAAACCACGCTATTTCAATATCTAATTTTATAAACCACGCTATTTCAATAATTTCAGACACTAAAGCAGCTACACACAGTCTATATAGTCTTTTTAAAATAGTTCATGAAAGTAAATTAATTCAGTTGTATCCAAATTTGAAGCAACATTACGAATATTTTTAATATTGCCAGTTACTGTAACTAGTGGTGAAAGAAATTTTAGCAAACTTAAAATAATAAAGAATTATATGAGATATTCACAGAGACAAGAAAGACTTTCAAACATGGCCATACTCTTTTACAAAACATGAATTAAGTCACCAAAAAATTTTGAAAAATTACTGATGATTTTGCTTCTTTAAAAGCAAGAAAATTGAAATTATAAATATGCTTGAAAAATTTATACCATAAATGTTTTTAAGCACATACATTACCACTTTATACTACTTCAAATATTATTTGTCAAAGCCCAGTTTTAATGCTTTTTACTTCAAAATTGCAAATAATTAGATATATAAAGCTATGCTTAAATTGATTAAATATTGCTGTACGAGTCACGGTATTATGACCTGAAATAGTTATTTTTTATGAGCATAACTGATATACTTAATTTGTAATATATATATGAGATATGCTTAATTTGTAATATATACACACACACACATATAATATATATATATACAATGTGTATGTATGTGTATATATATGAATGCATGTGTATATGCATAATGCTAGTTTTAATACATTATTTAGTATCCTTTATTCATTCTCCCCTCAAATAAATAATCTTGCATTGCACATAGAAGCCTGTATTTAAAGTGAAAACATATGTAAGCACAGCTCTGATGTGAAGGCAAGTTACAGATATATTTTATGCACAAGTATGTTATTACAATAAAACACAAAAAGAAAATATTAAAAAACTGGACATTTAATAATATCTTTAAAAAGATAAAAGTTCAGAAACACATGAAGAAATTTGATATGGAGATGTCACCAGGTTTAGATTTGAGGATATATAATATTAAAAGCACGTCTTACCAGAAATGGTGAACAGTTCCATGTCATGGCACTAACGGCATTCAGATATGCTATCTTTCGCAAATGCCTCAATTCACGTTCTCTAAATACATTAACTTTCTTCCTAAATGCTTCTTCCCAGGCATATAATTTCAGCACTTTAATACCTGAAAGAACTTCATTCACAAGTTTTACTCTTTCATCTTTAAACTTCATTTGCTTGACCTGGAAAATATTTTTAAAAACTAATTTATATAATACCTTAAATATTTTAGAGATATATAAACATCTCAAAGAATTCATAAAATGATTTACAAATACCACTAATGAAATGTTAGCAAAAGAAGATAAAGTATATCTATAAGTACTCAACTACAGAGTATATGAAAGTTAAATCTTAAAACTGCTGACCTGTTATTTGATATTATAGAAACAAACGGTAAACATATGAAAAAAATTGGGCAAAACATTCAAATTAATCTTTCTTTATGATTATTTTCTTCTAATAAACTTTTCTCCAACTAGGAAAAAAAATTCCATATTTAACAGTAAGTAATTTCCTTTTAGAAAGGCTAAGATAATAACTGAACACAAAATGTGAGAAATCCTGTCTTTTTCATACATGATATGTTTAATTATTAAACATTATCAAAGCATTTGGTCATCATAAGATTTTAGAGAAAATGCTTTATTCTGCCATTAATAACTACTCAGCTTATATTCTGCTTAATTTTGCCTTAATTATTTCATTCAACCAACCAACCATCTTCTGCTTGTACAATAATTGCTCTGCATTGAGAAGTATGTTATCAACAATTAAGAAAATTTTTAGAGAAATGAATCATTGTTAAAAATGCAGAACTACTTTACATGTAAAAGAAAGCAGACCTTATCTTTCTAGCCATTTCTAAGTTACAAGATGAAGACTAAGATGTTATTAGGGAAACTGACTATTCCAATCATAGCTAAATAAACTGATCTTTAACAATCCCACGCAAAATGAAAGAAACTTAATTATGCTAAAAGAATTTTAATAATATTGCTGCAATGTTAGTACAGCCAAAGTGTGCAAAAAATCCATCTCTATGATTTATGGCAAAATAATGAATGAATTAAGTCCCAATTACAAAAATCATCTCCGTATGATTTAAAAGCTCCTAGCAAATGCTCATTAAGCAGTTTATGAACTCATACACTAACTTAAGAACTGAAGATGATTGACAGTATGATTCAATACTCCAAACAATAAGTTTTCATATGTCTGCAATCTAGGAAGGATTTATGTCATTTCAACCAAAACAGCACTTTGTATTCCATGGTCATAATGTGTGATCTGCAAGCAACAGAATTCAAACTGTACAATCTTCTTGCAGGTAAGATGGTAGTACAGTAGATTCTTGATTAGGGCTAAACAGTGGCCACACAGTATAGTAATAGTTCTCAACATTCTTAAATCAATCTGTGTACAAATCCCAGTGAATGGGCTGGCTACATGGCAGTTTTCTTGGTTTTCTCCATGTTTGAATATATGAACCAATTTCCCTTAAAAAGTCATCCACAAAGGCATTCCTCATGACAGGCAGATAGCCCTCGAATTGTTTTACTTTAATCAATTAACCAGCCTGATTAAAAAAATGTAAATGCCACCCATCATGTCCATGGTTAATCCAACATCAGTTATAAACACACAGGAAGGAGAAATAACCCATACTATAATTGACAGAAAACATAAGTTCATACGGTAATGCAAATAAAACTAACATTCAAACCAAGAACACACTTCACAAAGAACAGTGTTTTTGTTTATATTACTCTTGTATTGATACAAAGCAATGGGAAACGGAAGATTAATGGTTGTGTGCTTAATTTATTTTTATGATTTAACAATGTTTTTATATTCCAGGTTATGCACAATTGATGTACTGTGTGGATGAAAAATATTCCTAAATATTGTGACACCATCTGCTATCATCACTATTACCCTATTTGTTTTATACCCCTTTACATATTTCCCACAGAAATGTTGCTTCATTTTTTACAGTTTGGGATAGTAATTTTTTCATTGCTCTGCAGTAAACAAATTTAACTTTTTTAAAGAAAAGAACCAGTTAACCAAGCAAGCATACACATTCCAAACTCAGCAATGATAAAAACAACTAAGAAAGAATAAGATTTCTAATATTTCTTGCTGAAGTTCTGTTCCATTCAGAAAGTTTGTAAAGCCTGCTTGAACACTTTTTTCCTAATTAGTTTAACCATTCCAGTACAATTTTTCCAACTAGAATGACATCTTGTGATAAGCTCATAATGGAACTCTGTCTCATCTCATTGTGCAATATCTTATCTGTGAACTGCATCACTGAACAAGTTACTGAAAATATTACAAGATATTTTCCTCTTATTTACTCACCTACATCATATCTTTCTAGAAATCCATAGCTTACAAGGCCTGAATATTTTCTGAAAATGTACTGTGCCTGCGTGCATAAACAGTGCTTTAAATTTTTGTTTTATATGTTTTAGAGTTTTGTCTCATGCTTATAGTACATTCTTTTGTAAATAAAAGGGGGGCTAACTAATCTGCTTTAATGTCTCAATTAAACCATTATACTTATAAAAGATAACATTAATATACCTATTTGGTGTTTTAAGTTAATAGCTCACAATATCCATCAATGAGTTAAATTAATATCTGAAAAATGTCAATGAATAGTTGCAAGACATTAATGCAATGCTAGGTATATGCATAAAAATTATCTCTATTAATAAAAGCATTCAGCATCTGGGTCAAAGGTGGCAAATAATGTCAAAAATTAGTTATCAAATATTCCCCCCCCCAACCCATAAAAACAAAACTAATACAGGACAACAACACAAAATGTTTAATTTGAGATTACTAAAACATCAACAAAAGTAATTTAAAATTACATAAATCATGTGTCATATAGGAAAGAGGATACAGATGAAGCCAAAATTGATATAAGAAAAACATTTGATTAATCAATATTCAATTTATTGTTATATTCAGTTATAGTTAATAGGATAAAATTCAATTTATAGATAATATTAATTTTGAAGTCTTCTTTTTGACATTCAGTTTAACTTATTAACATTTAAGTAGTATGAAGTTCTACTGTAAACTGGAAAATGGCATTTAACATTTCTTGTTTGCGATTTCAACCTATTTTTCCATATTAAAAATGCAAGGTGTTTTATATAAATTATCATTGCCAGCAGATAATAAAGCAATAACATTTGTTTTTAGTATTATGCTAAAACCTGAACCTCATTCTCTAAGTTAAAAAGAAAAAAAAAAATGTTACCTGTTTCTTCTTAACTTCAGATGCAATAAATGCATTCAATGGCATTAAAACAACCATCACAAGGAGTCCAGCTAAAGCAGAAGGTCCCAAAACATTCCATAACAAAGCAAGAGAGACTATAATTTGTAATGGAGCAGACCATACCATATTTAGATATGGCATGAGATCCATGAAGCGTTGTGAATCTACTGACATCAAATTCACTATTTCACCAATAGTTGATTCTTTTTTTGCAGATGAAGATAAAATTAGTGACTGAAAATAAAGGGAATAGCATTACAATTAAAATTTAAGTAAAGTTCTTTTGCAATTCTTATCTAGAACTGAAATACATTTCTGCACATAGAAATTAAGCACTTTTAATGACCATCAATGAAAAAAATTAAGGATTTATCAAGCAAATATGAAGTAAATAAAGCAATAACCTACACCTGAACTTCACTTTTGTAACTTGTAAGAATAAAATAAATCTAAGTCGGATGAATTATTATTAAACACAATCTAATACTTAATTACAAAACAAACTCAAAAATAAAATTTTTTTTCAAGTAATTAGCATTAAATTATGAAATTTCTTGAAGCAGTTATATTTTACACTTATAACAGTCCCACATATTTTAAGGATGATTAGTGGCTTTTTATTTAAATTTTACAGAACAGACATGAATGCCTGTCATTGGTATGGTTAGTAAGTTTTGAAAGTTAGCGGCACTTTGTCTGACCCAGTTAGTAACATAGCTTCATGTAGATTTGCTGGAGTTGTTAACGAAGTTTAATATAAAGTTCCAATTAGCCACAAAAGCACCAGAGATGATAGGTTGCTTTTGTATTATTTTAAGTCTCATTAAGTGTAAGAATAAAGTTTTATGTAAATGTTTAAGGAAAGGTGATAACATATAAGGATGAGCAGTCAGTTTCAAATAATTAAATTACTTACTTAGATAACCTTATTATTAATAGATTTACATCATTACAATTTTTTTATTCCTAAAAAGTATGCATTAAAAAGCACTAAGAGCATTTTACAGCAGTTATTACAATATTGATTTTAAAATATCTTTTTTCCTACGTCAGTCAGTAGTGATACTTACCATGAGACTTTGGGCAGCCCAATAAAATTTAGCATTGGTAAAGTTGTCAGAATTAAAAGTCATAAAATCAAGTACAGTGCAAGTTCTCAAATGAAAAAAAGTCCATTGTTTCACCCGACAGACAAAGAGGACAGATATCATCATCAACTACACCAATTCTAAAATATTAGTATAATTAGACATTAAAAGTTATAAAACATTTATGTTTCGTAGGAACAACAAAACATTTATGTGCTTCTTAATTTGAAAATTTATATAGTGATAAAGTGGTGGAGAAATTTCATGGATTAGCCAAGGGCATCCAGTTACAAAATCGACAGCTAAAGCAGCTAGTGAATGCTTTAATGAAGTAATATGATTAAGTGAATATTTAGTGATGTTCCTAAGTTACATGAAGTTCCAGTAATTCAAGTAGATAACATCACGCCAGTGAGACAGTCATAGAATCCTCAGTTTCATCGATGTACAAAACACATCAATATCAAGCACTTTTTGATATAAGAGAAAGTTCCAGAAATACAGAGGAGCAAGTGGCTGACATAATGGCTAAACCTCCTTAAACCAAGACAATGGATTCTTTGTTATAAATGGGACTCTTGCGATTTTCTCTTCTAGTTTACTGTTATAATTGTTCCTTTTTTTATTAAAAAGTATGTTAAAGAAAAGAAAGGAAATATTAATATATAGTTTAGTAATAAGTTCTGACAACAGTGGATGTTGCTGTCATTAGGACGTTGCCTTTTCAGATGTTGTTGTTCAAAAGATGTAACTCTAATTAGTAATTCCAGTTATTTTTTTCTCTGCTATTTGTTTTCTGTTTTAGTTGTAGAAACACTTTTTTAGGGACAATCAGTATTACAATCGCAAGAAGAGAGGTAGGCAATTACGAACATCCATATCTTTTTAGGATTCAGAACCAACATACGGCTACTACTCTGCAACCACCACACAGAATGAGGCAGAAATCGTAATGAAAATAGAAAAATTCAATTAATAGAATTTTAAGTGTATTAATTTTAAGTGATTTGTATGTTTAGCCATATACCATAAAGAGTTTTGGTTTATAGACCAGTTTTGCACTTAAAATTAATACACTTTTATATAAAATTAATACACACAATTTCTGCCAACAGAAGGTGCTACCTTCTTTTTCATTTTACTCCTTTTGAGTAAAAATACAACTCAAGCTTTCCCCTCACTACAGACTTCTTTGCTCCTCATGAAGAGGCACCTGCATCTGGTTTCCCTCGAAACTGATACAGTCTTGATTAATATTTACATTGTTTACTTGATTAATATTTACATTTGATTAATATAATTTAATATAATTTACATTTGTAATTATATTATATAAAATATAATTTATTATATAATATAATATAATTTACATTTAATATAATTTACATTTGATTAATTTTACAACTTGATTAATATTTACATTGATTAATATTTACACCTGCATCTGGTTTCCCTCGAAACTGATACAGTCTTGACATTACAAGGTTGTTGCTTTCCTTAATTTTATGATTAACGAATGATTACATAAGATTACAGTCATTACAGTTTGAGATAAAATAAAAACCATGGAAAGAACTCTTTACAGCTGATAAATTATTAAGATAATTTACTGATAAAAAATCTAATTTCTTCGAAAGAGGCATAAAAGCCCGTGTTAGAATGATTGCAGAAAGTATACTAAAATCTAAAAGTGAAATGGAAATTTTTCAGTTACAAACAAAAAGAGATAGATACAGGAACTGCTAGTTTTAAGAAAATTAATTAAAAATTGATGGCGAGATATGAAATCTGTCTTTCCAGAACAGGCAAAATAGCATAGGAACTTCAGAGAACTATTGGAAGCAAACAGATAAGTATTAAAAAGCAGCAGTAACAAAAATCCCTTTGCACCTAGAAGTTTATGAAAAGATATGTTAAACAGAATTTATTATAGTTATATAAAAGTAGCAAAATTCAAAACTAAACAAAGAGAAATATTATATTGGCCAGAAATGTCAAAAGAAATTGAAGTTTTAGTTCTTAATTGTCTGGTATGGTTAAATTTCAAAAAAGGTAATAAAGAACTAATAATAACTAAAATACCTAATGGTCCATGGGAAGGACTGGGAATGGATTTCTTTCACTTTCAAGGCAGAGATTATCTAATGGTTATATACTACATCATCAAATATATTGAAATTAGATACTCAGAAGATTTATCAAGTATAACACTAATATAATAATTGAAATCATTTTTTCACAAGACACGAGATCCTCAAAATAATACAGTCAAACAAGGGTCTACAATAGATCTGCAAGAAATTTAAAGAATATGCAAGGAAATGAAATTTTGAAACCAGAACTTCAAAGTCCAAACTACTCCAAAGCAAATGGAATGGTTGAAAGAGATATTTAAAAAAGAAAAAGGTATACTTTACAAAAAAATCCATTTTTTATTTTTCTGAAATCTTGAAACTCTTCTACTTCAGGTGAAATTAAGTCACCTTCTTAATGATTTTTTCGAAGAAAAGTGAAATTACTGTAGTCAACAAAAGATAATTTCTTCCAAACTAATCAACATGAAGAAAAAAGCAACAATTTCCTCCAAACTAATCAACATGAAGAAAAATGCAACAATCACTGAAGACGCAAGCATTATGAAAAAGTTATTATGATAGAAATGCAAGATCATTAAAATCCCTGAAGAAGATTATGTGAAAATCAGTGAGGAAGAGAAAAAATAAAAGAGAGTGGACAATCACAGAAGAAGCAGAAAAACCACATTCCTATAGAATTGTAATAAAAGATGGAAGAATTGCAGAAAAGAACACAACAGACATTGTAAGAGAAATTAATCCAAAAGTTTTAAAGGAAAAATGATTATAAATGTCAAAGCAGAAAAGCTGAAGTATGATAAAAATGAATCTGAGATTAGTACAAATTCCGATGTCACGAATTAGTACGAATACTCCAAATGTACAGATGCCCATAAATTTTCTTGCATATAGCAAAAATATTATGTCAACAAATTCTGAAAGAAATGTTATGACATCAAGTTCTGTAAATTGGCAATATTATGTTACTCAATTTGGTTAGACTATTAAAAGAACCTTTTTATTTAAGAGTAAATATAATAATATTCTTTTTTATTATTTAAAACACAAAGAATTCCCTATGTATCACAAAGTATCACATGACACTTACAGAAGTAAGTATACTAAATAATAAACAGTTAAAGGAAAAATTAAAAACAAAATTATGAAAAAAAATTTACAATGAACTGACAAAAACAGTCAAAGGCACGTCTGCCAAAAATAAACTGATAAAAACCTAGAGGCCAGTTAATATTTTTCAGTGCTAGTTTCAAGATCTTTCTTTCATTGTCATATTTGGAACATAGAAGTAGCCCATGTTCAAAATTTTTTTCGCCACCAATGTTGCAATTACAAAATATCTACAGACTCAACTTAAATTTGCTCAGATCACTTTTTAAAGTTTCCATTGCCAATAAGGAATTAGGTCATTTTATAATTTGTAAAAAAATAATGACATGACATTCTCATTTTAATGGAAGGCTTTCACACTTAAGTTCCCTTTATTTGAACCAATGTATTCTTGATTCTGTGACTCCATAATACTATCATTCATGACTTTCTTATAATAGGATTTAGGTTATTGACAAGGATGTCAATTTAGCACTTGGTGGCAGTCTTTGCAAGAAAATCAGACCGTTCATTCTCAACACGTCCATGAATAAATAAATTCAAAAGCAACTGAAGTTTTTTTATCTTTTAGGTTTTTAAGTTGTCTTTGAATCTCAATGATTATGTTACTAGAAGAAGAAATACATTTTAGAGTCCAAAGAGGAAAGGGAATCCGTACAAATGAGATAGTCTGAAACCACTATTTTGTTCAGTGATGCATTTGATCGTGAAATTTGAACACAAATGTTCAGCTATGAAAATCGTGGATTCATCTCGAATTCTAAATTGGAAGTGCTTGGAATTCTAGACCATTTCTGAAGATAGCAAATGCGAAACCAACTTTGCCATCAATTTTAGTGTCATCAGTACAACAAGTTACAGGGAAATCATCTGCAATTTCACTGCAAAATTAAATACTATTAATAGCATTTCTTTCTGAGGGATGAGGAAGCTCAGATGGAGGCAAAACACAATCATAACAAGAGACAAAAGAAACAGAGAGATTTACCTAAAGACAATATTATGAAGAATCTTAATGTTGATTAGAAGAAAACTACCTTTCTTCAGACATGTTGGCATGTTTAAACATATTTTGTCAAATGATTTTTAGCCTTTGACAGAAAGACTTGCATAGGAACAGTGTGATATGAAATTTGTAAAAAAAGTATCATCATTAAGTGCAAGGTGTCTGAAATTTAACTATCACACTAATGATGTCACGAAAATTCTAATCAAACCATCATTTACTTGCAGTTCTGTTGCAAAAAGTCAGCTACAGAATATCACCAAATCATAAATACAGCTTTAGGTACTAATGTTATATCATATGACACTGTGAAGGATTGATACCAAAAGTTTAAAAACAAAGATTAATATTATAGGTATTCAAGAAGTAGAGCACTCTAGCTTTCCTACTGATGCAAAAACTCAAGAGCTTGTTTAAGGAGTTAGTGCCATGTCAATTAGTTGCCACACCCTCCATATAGCCCCAACAATGTTCCTTCAGAATTCTACGTTTTTTCAGGCCTGCAGCTACATCTTGCTGGGGCTATCTTCTATTCTGAGCAGGACATCCAAAATGCGGTTGATCTGTTTCTGACTCGCGGCCACTAAAGTTTCGGGGCCGAAGGCTTTGAAAAACAACCAAAAGGTTGGCAGAAAATCGTAGATTTTCGTGGTGATTATTACCCAAACTGAAGGTACTGCTTTCCTGTTCTTTTTTTCCCGACTTTCTTAAAATTGTTTTTTGGTGGAAAGATTTTGTTATAACCAGATAGATATGTTGAAATTAATACCATATGCATTGTGTGCAATTCGACTTAATCTGCGATTTAATTTATGACACTTCTCAGATAGGTAAGTTAAAGATGGCTTCTAAAAAAATTTACAGTCAAGTAAAACCCCAAGATATTTTACTTGACCACAGCCAATGAGATTCCATTAAGAAATAACTGAAATTGGTCATAACAAATGTTTCACTTTTCAATAACTCTGATTTTACCAGGATTACGATATAAAACTTTTTGACCAATCAGAAGGGAGGTTTAAAGTCTCTTGTGGGTGGGAAAAATTAGCAGGAATACCCCCTACTTTTAAAGCAAATAAGATATAATTTGCAAAGGTTATAGCAATAAGCAAGATTTTTCAGCTTTGATAGAAAATCATTAATAATAATATTCTAAAACATAGGTCCAGAAACTGAGCTTTGAGGACAACCCCTTTCAAAGTGACAATTTGCAGAAGCCAAGCACATTTGCAGTTTTGTCATTCGATCATTTAAAAAGTCAGCAGCAAGCAAAAAAATATTTGCTGGAAGTTCCACTTTTTAAAAAAGATTGAGACCACCACATATTGCCAAAGGCAGCTCTTACACAAAGAAAAATCAAAATAGTGTGCAAATTCTTCTTTTTACCTCTTTGAACAACTTCCATCAAGTGTAAAACAGCATCTTCAGTACTCTTTTGATCTGTTCTTCAAAGCACTTACCTAGAGCACAAAGTAAGCTTATACATCTAAGGTTATCCAAATAAGGAATCCTAGACTCATTTCCTTTAGAAATAAGTATCACCTGAGCATGTTTCCAAACCGTGGAAAAATACCAACATGCAAACAAACATTAAAAAGTTTATAGAGAAGAGAAGGAAACCAAGAAATAGAAAGGTGAAAATTAGGTGAAACTGTTTAATAATCTCATCTGATATAGAATCAGGACCAAGTGATTTATTTGATTCCAACATAGAAATAACTGTAATAACTTTATCACAGGAAAAAGAAGACCAAGCAGCATGTGTAGCTCTGGATCAGAATGAAAGGCCTTCTGAAGCACAGTAGTCATTTTCTTTTCAAGAAAATTGGTTGTCTCTCTCATAAAAAGACGAACATCAGGTATTTCAATATTTTGCATGAAAACACCACATGTATAATTTTTCCTACACACTGTGAACATCTATGGTATGTATAATCTTTTACATTAGACATGCTATTATACTTACTAATGGTAAGTAATAATAGTAATCTTTTTATTTCTGTTAAAAAGAGAGAGATCATATATACAGCTGTAACTGTACCCACAGTATAAAATAGTAGCTGATAGAACATAATAAATGATATTTAACTAATATTGTGCAATCTTAATTTCTACTTATCAGTAGCTTATAAATATATATGCTTAGTAGTAGAATAGCCTTTGTATAGGATTTCTTAAGGTAAAAAGACTCATATTTACATGTCAGAAAATCACCAAAATATTCCTCATATAAAAAGATATAACAAAAGGATATACATCCACATGTGCATAAATAAAAATATGCATCTATGTTTTCAAAGTTAACTTAAATGCATACAAGCATGGAGGTAAAACTATTTTCCTTCATTTAATAAGAATAAACAGCTTGAGATCAAAGATCCTATATTAATGTATGTTGTTAATATTTTTTTTATTAATTGAGCAAGATTTAAATACCAGAATACAAAAACAATTCTTACTTTTTTATAAATTGCTGCAACAAGTGCAGTCCGAATTCTCATACCCAAGATGAACATACGATGAAAATAATTGCCTAAAAGAAGAGACTGCAATGTTCCAGTTAAGAACATACAAACAGCATATAAAATTCCAATCCAGAGAGGATCTGATGAAGTTACATAGGCAATCAATAATCTAAAGCAATGAAATTTTCATTAAAATTAAAAGTACAAAATTATATAATAAACAACAATAAACCACCTTTTAAAAAATATATAACTTCTACAGTCTAATAAATATTTCTTCTACACCATTTTTTTCCCCCTATATTTTCACAATACTATTAAACATGTATATCTCATACAGACAATTTATGAGAAAAGTTATTTAAATTATTGAAATTTATTTTCATGCTTTGTTATACAATTAAAAAAGTCTTTATTTAGGAGATCAATTTTATGAGAAAACAATATGTTACTTATTATATAGAATTAATAAATCTTTTCACTTCACCAATGAATTTCCTTAGTTTCCTTATAGAATTTTGAGAATAAATATACTTTGTAACTAAGAATTTTGGAGTAACAAGAATACAATATGTAAAACAAGAAGCATACCAAAACTTGCAGTCATGTTAAAATTTAATGATAGCTTCTTAATTATGTATAAAAGTTAATTACTATTCACAAAAATACAACTTACTTCAATAAAATGGGACTTACAAACTGCAATCCATCATAAAAAAGTTTATATATACTTCCAGCTAAAAAATATGCCCAAAATGTTTTGCAAAGAGCCCTGGTTATACTGATTTTTTTCTTTGATTGGTCTACATATCCATTTCGTACAATGAATTCAGCTTCTTCCTCTACTTTCATTTTCTCATTCGAATCTTGCGCAAATGGTATACTGCCATCTCTATTCAAGCTTAAAACAGAAAATAAAGAAATTACACTTTAAAATTTTTAATGATGCCACTTGCATACCATATACACATTAAGTAACAAAAAATAATGCAAACATTTAAATACTGTCTTGAGTATATTTCTCTTTCATAAATGACCAGCCAAAGCAGTGAATCTGTTCCTTTTATATATATTTAAATGCATTTCATTATTAGTTTTCCAGTGATTTATACTGAGTTAAAAGAGAAAAATGAAATTTTCTGGGATGCATATAAAAATTGACTTATCACTATCTTAGCACTTATGCTATACATTTTTACATTCATTATACTATTTATATTTACAGTATTATTTACTTAAAAAAATACAAGACATAACATTTAGTGGAAGCATCCTTTTATTTGAAAAACGATTCAACACAAGCGTGAAATGGATAAAAAATTCAGCCTAATACAACTGGACAAACCTTTAGGGATGAGTGTTCCATATATGTAATTCCCTATAAATGAATGTCTCTCACAAAAAGACATCCCACGAATGCATCACTGGAGAATTACCTTAAGGGACTGGTGACTAAAATAGTACCAAAAATTATGATGTTAGAACTTAAGCTCTGCCCCCTAAAGTTAGGCTTAGCGAAGCAAAACCCACATCCTATGGAACGATTTCTTTAGACTTCCATCCATCCCGAGGGAACGTCTTAAATAAAGGTGTGCCATCTCAAAAGGGTTACTTGCTTAGTAATAAGCTTTATTCTCATTGCATTTGGATAATTGTTAAAATATCCTTAATACTTATAAATGTAATATGTTCTTTTCAATCACATATATGCATTAAATACCAAATCTGAGAAGTTTTGGATTACTTCATAACACATTTTTTCAGAAAATTTTGTTCAGAGCTTCAAGTAAAGTATCACTTTCAGTTCAACAGTTTAAAAAAAAAAAGTAATATATTGTTCTGATCAATATAAAAGTTATAAATACTAAAAGTGGAAATTTTTGGATTATATTTTGGTATAGTTTTTCATTAAAAACTGTTATGAACTTTGAGTAAAGTACCATTTCTAGTTGTTGATTAAAAACAGCTTCATGTAAAACACAACTTTTGATTTTTCAATTTTACCCAAAATCAAATCAACTCTTTATATGATTGCAGACACTTAAATTTGAAAAATGAAAATTTTTTGAAGTTTTATATAAGAGTTATCACAGATAAAAAAACTGTCATGCACATACTTATGGACAGATATCATTCTAAAAATATCAAAAACATGTTGTGGGGATCCTAATTCTTATTCACTGAAAACTCAGTATCACATTTTTGACAAAAAACATCCATCTTCCTTACCTATGTATATTGATTGGCTAGAGGTCCCCCCCCCCAATGGCGGGCACTTGCCTATGTCGGCATCTGCCACTCCTAAGGCCAGATGTGGTGGTCTCTTTATTATGGAAGCACCTAATAGGTGGGCCACATTTGCCTCCTGTGAAGGGACAGACAATTACATCCATGCTTTCTCCAGGATTCAAACCTGGACCGGGTTGGCTAGAGGTAAAACACTGAATAATCTTGTTATAGCTATCAAAATGAACCGATTAACGAATCTAATTTTAAAAAAGGATATTAAGATTTAATTAAAATTATATTTCTGCACAATAATTAGATTTGTTAATTGTTGTTTTTTAGCTTCAGTACACATTACTAATTTTACATGATAAGTCATTTCATTTATACTTATGAATAATAATTTGATCTATAACAATATAAAAACACTGAAAATTAATGAAAAAAATATTAAAGAAACTACTTTTAACTTTTAGTTAATTTCTGAGGGCAAATATAATATGGAATTTTCGGCTGGCATGATTCTGATTGCGGGAAAATTTTAGTCATAATTGCAAAGCAAAGATTCAATAACTTAATAGAATAATGGATAAAGACGAAGGATAAAGAATATCCTACGTCTTACAAAAGACTAAGAATGCAAAATCCTTATTTGAAGGACATGACAGAAAGAGCATTCATATTCAAACAAAACAAGCCCATAAGCATCAAAATTCCATTTCCTAAAAGCTGAATTAACTGCACATATTCAATTCTTCTCTTTCTTAATAGTAAATATTTCAGCATTTCTCTCATAACATCAGCCTTGAACACAGCTCTTTCTGAGAACTCAGTCACAGAATGTGAATGGAATCAGCCCACTCATATTCACTGCTTCTTTCTGACAATTCAATCAAAGAATTTGAAAAGAATTAAAGGTCCAATGCATGGTTATTGGTTCAATGGTCACTAACAACACATGGTGTCCTCAGATATGCTTATTGCCCCCATTCTCATAGAACTGGATTCATACCTGCCTTGTGTAGCCTCTGTTTACAACCTAAAGGAAACTGAGATTGAAGATAAAAGAAAAGTAACAAACTTTATGGAAGCATGTGTATCCTAATATCCTAAATATGGATGATTTTAAGGCACACCAATGTGAATTAGATTTTCTAGAGGGATTTCAAATTGAAAAAATCTTTCTATTCTAGTTAACGACTTTAATTCCAATCCATCCTTGCCTTCAGCCTTTAAGGAAATTATATTTTAGTTCTTGTTTCATCACTAGATGGCGCCAGTAGATTAACTCTTTTGCAGCCTTTCTTATCTTACTTAATCTAATCACTATATCCCATCTCGTTCATTTGCGCTTTGGCAGCTGAGGATGGTGGTTCAGTAAAACCATCGAAACTAGTCCTGTGAAAATTTGCAAATATAACACTGATTTTTGTTGTTTGAATTCTAAATTAATACTTATTCGGCATGCTATTTTATCTTAATTAAAGGAGGGAATTCTTTGGTTGAAAGGTCACATTCAATTTTCAGACTGTCACGAGAATTTAAAACACACTATTCTATTACCCTCTAAATGCAAATTCATTAAATTGATCATCATGATTCGCATGAAAAGATATTCCACGCTGGAGTTAATTCAACACTAACTCAAATCAGAGCCAAATACTGGATCATTAAAGGGAGGCAGTGTGTTAAACTGTCATAACTAAATGTCTGATATGCAGACAATATAATGCTCGTCCTGAGATTCAGGATATCGCTCCACTTCCTCCAGACAGAATCTGAAAGTTGCCTCTATTTGCTGTGACCGGGTTGGACTTCACAAGCTCATTTTTTACGAAAGACAGTCAATGTAAAGTTTACATGCTGTTGTTAACGCGTGCAGTTACTAGTGCCTTACATATAGAAATAGTAACTCATCTGAGCATTGAAAGTTTTTTACTAGCTTTCTGCAGATTTCTAGCTTGACAAGGACTGGGTACCACTATGTGCTCTAACAATGCCAAGACTTTTAAAAGAACTGACAAAGAACTAAAACATATTTTCAAAACTTCGAGAGACTGATCTGTCAAAGAATTGTTTTCTGCTAGAGGCATAAATTGGAAATTTATTATTGAGAGGGGTCCATGGTGGTAAGGTTTTGGGGAGCGTAATGGTACGAACAATAAAATCCAGTTTACGCAAATTACTGGTCGATCATCCCTTCCTGTTAATAGACTTGAAACAATGCTCATTGAAACCGAGGCAATGATTAATCGTAGACCAATTATACCTACGTATTTAGAAGTCCAAATGAACCTTCACCAATACATGCCATCTCATTTCCTGCTTGGTAGATGATTACTACCTCTGCCTGGTAATAAAATAACATCAAATAACTTGATTGGATCAAGAAATTGAATTATTAAATGATATAAATACCATTAAGATATTTTTAATTATTTTTGGAAGCACTGGAGAATGGATTAACTTTTTTTTATGAGATATGCCAATATTTGAACTCCAAACTGAAACGCATAATAGTTTAAAAATCAATGATATTGTCTTGATCCATGACGATAAACATCCCAGAAATCTTTGAATGATTGGTAGAATTTTGGAATTATTGGCAGGCAAGGATGGTAAAATAAGATCTTGTATAATTAAAACACCTTGAGGTACCTTAAAAAGGCCTATAAAATTGTTGTACAGTACAAAGTCAGTAATCCGAACATCCATTATCTGGAATGATCTATAATCCGAACTGCAAAGGCACAAACTTTTTTTTTTATATGCTTTACGCATGCGCGTAATGCATTTACACATGTGCGTTTAATGTATAACAAACAGTATAAGCTAGGCTAAAATTATCTTTACTGATTCTAAGGCATTTCAGTTAATGTTGCAGATTGCGCTGTTTCTTAATCTTCTAATCGGATCCGGCTTATTATTTTTTGCAGACTGTTAGAGCAATTTTATAAAAATTAAGCTTGAACTTTTGATTATGTCAAAAAGAGTTTCCAATTCTGGAGCTACCAAAGGATCTACAAAGCAAAAGCATGTTTCGATGTCCATCAAACAAAAAGTGTAATTGCTGCAAAAAAATGGATAAAGGCATATCCGTCTCAAAATTATGTGAGGAGTATGACATAGGAAAGGCAACTGTATATGACATAAGCAAAAAGATAAAGGAACTTTTGAATTTTTTTGTGGATTCCAACACCCCACTTACCATGAATAACAGAAAAAGGGTTTGTTATGCTAAAAGTGACGATCATGACAAAGTGATGATTGAATGGGTCAGACAGCCACACAGCGAGGGTGTGCCATTGATGGGTCCAATGCTAATGGCTCGAGCCAAAATATTTCATGAAGAAATGAACTTAAACACTAAGTGCACATATTCGACAGGTTGGTTAACCAAATTTAAAAATTGCCATGGCATAAGACAAAAATTTTAGGTGAAAAAGCTTCAGCTGATACTGAAGCAGCTGAACAATTTGCAAATTAATTCATTGAATTCATTATTAGTGAACAATTATCTCCAGAACAAATTTACACCTGAAACTGGTCATTTCTGGCAATATATACCACAAAATGCCTTGGCAACCTCTACAGAAAAGGCTCCAACTGGTGTCAAAGATTCCAAAGTGAGACTAACAATTTTAGTGTGCACAAATGCTGCAGGAACGCACAAGCGCAAACTTTTTGTAAACGGAAAACATGCACGACCTCAAGCATTTAAAGGATTTTCCGAGTTATATATCACGCAAATAAAAGAGCGTGGATGACACAAGCATTGATGAATGATTTGGTTTGAAAATCATTTTATACCCGAGGCTCAGCAACATTTGAATTTGATTGGTTTACCTGATGACTCAAAAATAGCCCTGATTGTTGACAACTCTTCGGCACATACTTCACTTTAAGTTTTAAGTTTTAATGAAAGATAACGTATCCATATTATTCTTCCCTTCAAATTGTATGTCTATCATTCAGCCTATGGATATGGGAATAGTGCACATGCTGAAATGCAAATATAAAGTAGCATTTTTTAAATATATGTTAAATTTCTTGAATAATGGCAAGACTATTCAAGACTTTTTGAAATTTTTTTAGCATAAAATCTGCTGTGTGGAGCATCACAAGATCATGGAAGGATGTGTCTCCAGATATGTTAAAAAAATGCTTGGCATAATTTATAGCCAGCTACCATATTTCATGGTGAGGACGATGAAGATGATAGCCAGGAATTTGAAGGTTTTCGGACATCAAGAATTAAAGGCTGAAATTGTCCAGTTATTGGATTTTGTAAAGAAATGTGGAGAACCGGTAATAAATGAAGAGGATATAACAGAAGTTTTTCATTGTGACGACAAAGCCCTAATCATCAATCAATTAACGGACGGCGAAATCTGTAGTATGGTTCTAGATCCAGAAAATACCGCTTCCAATAGTGAAGAAAGTGACAGAGAGGTTATTGAAAATGAAAAAATTTCGATTGCAAGTTAGTCCTTATTCTCGACACAGCAATTACAGAACTCGAACAGTGGAACTTTGTAACTGAACAAGAAATTATGTCTGTTTATAGAATTAAAGAGAAAGTATTAGCACAAAAAACGAAGCAACTTAAACAACTTACATTGAAAGAAATATTTAATAAAGTAAACAAATAAATATTACGCTTTTTTGTAAATTTTAATACCCTTTAGATCGTAATTGCTCTTTATTTCATAAATTATGGTTTCATATTCTTAATTGTATAATTTCTGCAAGTCATCTTACCAGATTTAAATTGATGATCTATAATCCGGAAAAACCTCTAATCTGGAATCGCCGAAGTCCCGACAAGTCCGGATCACGGACTTTGTACTGCATAATATGGAACTTAACTAATGTTTGTATTTTGTATTTTTAGGTTTGGTTATCCTCAATCTCGCTGATAGGTATCATTTAACGTTTTGGAAAATTTATATACTTATATTTATGTATGTGTGTTTTTTTATATTTAACCATTTCTCTATAATTGATTGTCGAAATATTAATTGAATATTCCAGAATATATATTATTGAAAAATGAACTCTTTATCGAGTTCAGGTGGGGAGTGTTGAATAATTTGAGAAGAAAAATGCTAGAATGCGATGATAGTCATTTGTTGTAGAGAGAATAATAAAAGTTTGTTTTTGTTGAAGGCAGTGGCCTAAAAATACATTCTGTATATAGTTCATTAAAATATTGTGAAAATGTTAAAATTGTGTGAATGACTGAGCCACTATAACCTGATCTAGAAACTCAAATCTAAAGGACCAAAACATTTCTTTATTATGTTTAGTATTTCACTACACTGTGGTTCGACTTCATATATATTTCTTTTAAAACGTTTTGTATATCTGTGTGCATTTACATCCCTCCATACATATGCACACACATATCTATATTATCAATAATTAATTAAACTTCAATATGCCAAAACCAAAGGCAAGAAAAAAAAAGGTCTAATCAAGCTTAAGAAAAATTAATACAAATTTCCAATCATATGTTTCATCATTCAGCACCATCGATGAAAATTCAAGCATCTGATATTTAGCAATTAACTTTGCTTAAATAAATGGTTAAAAAACTAGAAATGAGTTTTTAAAAATATTTTACCGAGGTGAAGAGACAGATGGCATCCATTGTGTATGACGGTAATGCTTTTCAAATAGCTCCGATACATGATCGGTGCGGTTACTTGGATTCAAATCCCACAAGTCTTTGAAGGTTAATGGTCTTTTCCATCCCAAAATACTCATACTACGAAAAAAAATAATTATCATTCACCTTACATTTCTAAAGTAATTCTATTCATATCTAACTTCAAACACAGTTAATATGAATTACTTACTCATTAAACCACCAGAACAGGAGGGTTGATAAGAAAGATGCTGAAAGTTCAGGACACTCTTTCTGCAATATATATGAAAATAATTTATTTCCAATACAGATGGAAAGTCAAAATAAAGGTCATTCATTGACACAAGATTTGTGAAGACATGAGCATTGCAAGATAAAATTGCCTTATAATATAATTGTTAATGAAATTTTAGTTTTTAATTTCCTAACATATTATTTCTTTAATATGAACAATTAAAAGAATTTAGAAGTGCAATGTAAAGGAAATTTTAAATCATTACAAATGACTTAATCAGGAACATAAAATGTCAAACAGATGAGAAGCCATGTCTGCTAAATATCCCAGTATCATGCAAATGTATATCACACAAAAACATTTAGAGGCAGCTCTTCATTCAAGATGGTTTTACTTGTGCCAAATCAAAATGATGCAAATTTTAAAACCAGAAAACAAACAAGTTAAAAAAAAACACAGCAGTGTCTTGCTTAACAAATGCAATTCATTCTGCAATTGCACACATAACGCAAATTGTTTGTTATGTGGATATTTTTTCTAATAAATTAACATGGAAATAATTTAAATCTATTTCGTTCTCCAGTCCAAAATCACAAAATCCTCAAACATTTTAGAAAAGATTAAAAAACACCTCTAATATTGGAAAAGCTAAATATATTAATTCATTTAAATGAAAATTGTTTATATACTGCTAATTTATTGACTTATAAAAAATAACTGCATACACTGTGTACATACATTATCTTGCAGCTTTTTTAATTTAGTTTATACCGAGTCTTCCCACTGTAGGTGTCTGTATCACTGTAGCTGTCTTATTTTATTGCATACCTGACTTTGGTTTTGTGCAAGATTCAGGTTTAAAAATTTGTCTAAAGTGGTTTAAAAGCTGCCTAAAATACTTGTCTTCCATTTCAAGAGGTCTTAAGGAATACTGAAACAGTTTTAACTTCTTTGGAAGTTTTGGAAACAGTTTGCTTCTTCTTTGAAAGTTTTAGAAAAAGTTTTTAATTTTTTTCTTCCCTTCTTCGGAAAGTCCTTGATGAATGTAATAAGGTCTGTCTCTATTCTTCTCTTGCTTACTAAGAGAAACTTCTCGACTTTTCATGCTCCAGATCCAGATTTGGTTTGCTTATTAAGTATGGCTAAAAACCTTAGAGCTAACTGACTAAAGGAAGAGATGCTTTTGTGAAGAACTTTAAAAGTAAACTGGATTATATCCATGTTACACATAAAAAAAGACACTAAAGCACACAGGTAGCCAGCCTGTTCACCAAGATTCAAATGCCAATTGAACTACTAGTGTTCAGTGATTTTACCAATCAATTGCTGTTCAGTCTTTGTGGTGAAGAAGGGCTGCAGGTCTCTAGTGTTAATATAATTTTAAGAATACAATTATTTTTATACTCATTTGTTTGCTGTTTTTGTTCATGCATAGTTTAAATTTTATAGTTATGTATATTAAAACAAAAAGGTATAAAAAATTTTGCTTTGCATTTAATATACAGAAAAATTCATGTGTGATATGTCCTCTGCAAGACTAACTTTATTTTAAGGACATTTTTCAGTTTGTATGCCCATTCATTCTGCAAGACATTTGACATGCCAGGCATTTGTTATGAAAAGCACCATTTTATACCAAAATATATTTATGATATTTGTGCATTTACATTTATGACATAATGTTATAAATATATTTATAACACTGAAACAAATGCGTCTCTAAGAATGGGAAGTCTTTTTCCTAGAACTATTAGATAATCTGGCTTTAACTATTGATAAATACTGTAATGCAACCTTTTTCATTTAATTATTAAATTTTACATTGCAGCTAGGGAAGGTCATATTTCTTACTAAAGCCGTTTTGTTTGTTGTTCTCCCTCTTTGCCAGACAGATACATTGTACCAACACCATTTTGCCAATAAAACCTTTTTCTATTCATTCAGTACCTGGATGTTCCCCCCCCCACTATGCTTTCCTCATCCTTTAAGTAGTAAATTGTGCCTCTGTATAATGAATTTCATGTCTTCCAGTTGATTTCTTGCAGAACTATGGCAAAAACCAAAAAGGTTGATTAATGTTTGGCCACAAGTGTACTTTGTATATGGAACAAACTTTAGCCATTTCTCTTCCATACTTAATTCATTTTAACTTAATTTGTAAAACTATTGCTTCGTATAAACTTTACTAACTGGAATTGTGAAAAATTCTTCACTAGCTTTTGGTGTTTCTCTTCATTAGCCTTCAAAAAAACTTTTAATGCTGACCACAGTTTCAGTATTTTTTTAGTTGCAGGTAAAAATAATAGCCACCTGTACATCTTTCTTTGCATGTATGGGCTCATGTATTTGGAGTGAATAACGATGACAGCACTTGATTAAGTATCAAAATACAATTTATTAGCTAGTATTCCTCAGAATAGCTCAAAAACACGTTTACAGTCGTCAAAACGGCAAACATGCTGAAAAATCAGCAGCACAGCTTTCAGACTATCAGGCAATAATGGTGAAGACAGCTTCACAACAAAGCACGGCTCCTGACTTTGCTCGGTCATTCTCAGAACTCTACTCTCGAGACTCTCCACGTTACAACTCATGATGCACTTGACAACACACTAGAGTACAGCTCCCAACTCGGCTCAGTTGTTCTCGGAACTCAACACACTCTAAGATAAAACTCAACAATGCACTCGACGATACACTAGAGTACAGCTCTCAACTTGCTTCGGTTGTTCTCGGAGCTTAGCACACACTCTATGATAAAACTCAACAATGCACTAACTCGGGATATATTAAGAGACTCTCTCAATAAACTCGACGACCAACTTGGCACTAGCTCACTGACTAATGATGAGACTCGTGCAGGCAGGGTTTATGTATCTTTTTGGGCTGAGTTCGAGAACATTCTGGGTCAAACCAGTAAAAATTCGTTCCAGAAAGTTCTCCATCCATCTATGACATAGTGCCAATTTTGTCACCAAATGGATAATTTCTCACCAAATATGACAACCCTGCAGTCCCTTGTCATGTTTTGTCAACCCTAAACCTGTTTTGCAGGAAAGCTATCTTACTGCAGCTGGAAATTTCGTAACAATGTTATTTTGTATGAATAAAATAAACAGTTCGATATTCTAATTTTGTTAAGAAAAAAGTATTACAGATAAGAATCTTTAAAATGAAAAAAAAAAATTCTCTGAATGGAGTAAATCAAATGCTCCTCCCTATCATTGCTTGTGAGTAAGGAAGAATGATCCATGTTATTTTCCTTTAACATGGGTCTCATGTAAACAGGAAGAAACACCTGCATTAGGAATAGCTTATCAGATATAGGGATGCATATTTAAACTGTTTATTAAATGCAATGTCCTTCATAAAAATATCTGGCATATAATGTTCTTTCCAAGAATATGACTGCATCACATGAGAAATATGTATCTAAAAATATTACCTTAGAATCCTTTTTAGCTGCTGCAGGTATATGCCTGTACCTGATGTCAGCTATGCAGGATAGTAACAATTCTGCTATGAGAAGAGGAAAGTAAACCATTTGTATAACAAAAGAAATCTCATTTGGGGCTTGCACCTATGAAAAGAGAGACATATTTTCAATGAAATTTCTTATAATACTCTACATCCAACATTTAACTTCACTAAACAAATCCAAACATAAACAAAAGTAACATGTAAAATACCAAATTGCAAACAAAAATATAAATAAGTGCAAACAAAACCTGAGTGGATCCTTATAATTTTAACTTCTTATTTTATTTGCCAGTAATAATAATAACAAAGTGTTTTTATTCAGAAGTTTCTACGTTCCAAAACATTAATAGTTACACTGCAAGTTCAGCTTTTACATCTAGTAGAAATTCATTAGCAAAACCAACCAAAAAAGTTTACTGTAAAATTATAATAGAAACAATTCTACATACCTCATTTCGTATCTGTAAGAAAGCAGATCTATATGAAAAAATTTCACAAATTGTTAAGGAAACCCAAAAGATGAATAAAATGCCAGATGTATGTCTACCACGTTTTTTATTGAACAACATAAGAATCACAGCAAACACCTGAAGAGAATAAAATTTTATCAGTTATCTACATAGATAAGCACCGAAACACATAAAATACACAGATATATCCCCTCCGAAAAATGAGGAGGAAAAAAAAAAAAAAAAAAAAAAAAAAAAAAAAAAAAAACTTTATTTAAATACTCACAAATGTCAGAGCTTTCAAAGAAGCTGCAATAATGAGAGCTGTAAACATATCCTTAGCTCTGTAATTGAATAGCAAATCCAAAATGTTGGTTGCCCAAAGAACAGATAATGCTAATGCTACCATCTAAAATTAAAAACTCATTTTTAAAAGACACACCAGAATAAACACACTGCTATCATAATCAAGGATTATATTTTGAAATAAGCAAATAAACAAAGGAAGGACGAAAAATTTACAAATTCATGCCAAGTAGGACAAAAAACTATACAAATTTAAGTAATCAGTCGTAATATTTGAAGAATATTATGTAATTATAACATGGTATTTGGCAAAATTATATTTTTGTTTCTGCAGTTTTCCATAATAAAAGGGCAATTTGGAAACTAAGTTTCGCTATAAGTATAGATTAAACAAATTTTTTTTATTTACATCTGAAAAGTACAGCTGGTTGTCTATTTTTCAACATTGTGACCATATACATTTAAGCACAAGTCACACTGTTTTACCAATTTACCAATCCCTTTTGCATAAAACTCAGCCACCTGCAACTTCAACCAACTTGCCACAGCAGTTTGAAGTTTCTCATCCAAGTCTGGGCTATAGGGTGGATGTTGAAATATGCACCACTGAGCATTATCATGTAGGTACACAGCCTTAGATGTCAGCAGGCCATGAAGTTTATACTAGATGGCTTCTTTCAGTTTCCTCAAAAGTGTTAACGTAGAATTCAGAACTAACTGTCATATCACATTACCTGAATCCAAAAAACAAGGTTCCAAAGATTACAAGATTAGCATCCCAAAACATGGTGATCATAAGTTTTCTCACTGACAAAGTTTGATGGGTAGGAGAATCGGTATGACCCCATGTCACAGACTGTTATTTCATCTCAGCATTTACATGCACCATCCAAGTCTTGTTGCCAGTCACTATTCTGTTCAAAAATTTCTCCTCTTCCGGATGGTACCAGAAAAAGTCTAAGGCAGTACCCATTCAACTTATTTTGTGGATCTCCATGAGAATTTCTGGTACCCATTGAACAGAACTTCCAGCAGCCTAGTTTACTAGTGACTACCTAGTATAAAACATTCTGAGAAATGTTTAGAAATAGTTGCAAAAGTTCTGAAATTGTTAATTGATGGATCCGATGGATTTTGTCATCAATTTGTTTGATGAGATTATCACTCACTACAGACAATCTACCACTCCTCGATTCATCATGAATATTTGTTATTCCTTCTTTGAAAAATCTCACTCACTGATGAACTATATCTTCACTCATATTGTTTGGGCCATACAAGACAAACAATTCATGAGAAATGTCTGCAATTGATATCTCTTTTGCCCAAAGAAATCCTATTATTCTGCTTTCATTGCATTTGGTAGGATTTTCAATAGCAGTGCATGTTTTATAACATTATGACCAGCACACGTGTGGTAGTACAACACTCTCATTAGCATAGCAGGATTGCTTGCTTAATCACAGATTGCTTGATTTAACAATGGCTTCAGTCTGTCCACTACTACTACTACTACTACTACTACTACTGCCATGCCACAATGGATGTTAGTTTCCGAATTGCCTTGTATATCCTGTGCAGTTTCAGTAACATATTTTATCAGTACTTTCAAACAGAAGTAATAATTTGTTACAGAAATTTCAGACCAAGAAATTTCATTATAAAATATTGCTTAGTTAACACAGAATAAATTTCACTGGAAAATTTACGATAGCTAATAGTCAATAAATTTGCAATTTTACTGCCATAATATATTAACATTGTGCAGGAACAGAACAATTACTATATGAATTACGACACTAAAATTTTAAACTTCTCTACAGTTCTGTACAAATCTCTGTGATACACATATAATTAATATTAGTTAAATACAGTACATTAAAAATTCCTAAGAACCATACATGTATGACCCATAGGTTTAAAAAATAGATCAGAAAGAAAAAAATCATCACATACCGAATGTATGAAAAATAAAGTTTACTAGAAATGAGAATACTGATACACTATATATATATGACTTTACATGAGAAAATGTTTAAAATGATCACAGAGTATGAATTCAATATTGCTCATGCTGGAGCATGGTTGCCCGAGTGTGATCCAGCAATGGGAACTAAACAAAAGTGCAATACAATGTAAAGACAAGTAACTATCCTCCTTCCTCTTGTAAATTGAGTTCATTAATTCTCTCAGATGGCCACATAGGATAAAAAATTCAAAAGTGAGTGGTCTGGTGATCAAGATAGCTATTAAGTTGAGCACTCATGCCCCATCCAGCAATCTGGACATTTCCTACTCAACCAATCATATATAAACAAGCTGAGATATACAGTCAAAAGTCGTTAATTCGGACACCCATAATCCGGACCTCAAAGCTAAAAACTTTCTGCCCATGCGGCGCGTTGACACATGCGCATAGGCATTTACGCATGCACGTAAGACCTTTACGACTGTGCAAATGCGTGTGCACAAGCGCAGAATACATTTACACGTGCGCGTTTTATGTATAACGGACGGTATAAGCTAAAATTATCTAATTATCTATTTCAGTTAATGTTGATGATTGCGTTGTTCCTTAATCTTCGAGTTGGGTCCGGCCTAATATTTTTTGCTGACTGTAAGAGCAATTTTATAAAAGTAAACTTGAACTTTCGATTATGTCAAGTAGAATTTCCGATGCTGGAGCTCCCAAAGGATCTACAAAACAAAAGTATGTTTCGATGTCCATCAAACAAAAAGCAGAATTGCTGCAAAAAATGAATAAAGACATGAAGAAGGTGACAGAGAGGTTAGTGAAAACGAAAAAATTTCGATTGACAAGTTAGTCGGTATTCTCGGCACAGCCATTACGGGACTTGAACAGCAGAACTTTGTAAATGAACAAGAAATTATGTCTGTTTATAGAATTAAAGAGAAAGTATTATCACATAAAATGAAGCAACATAAACAACTTACATTGAAAGAAATGTTAATAAAGTAAATAAATATTAAGCTTTTTTTTTTGTAAATTTTGGTACCCTTTAAATCATAATTGTTCTTTATTTCATAAATTACGGTTTCATATTTTTAATTTTAAAATTTCTGAATACCATCTTACGAGATTTAAACTGATGATCTATAATCCGGAAAAATCAATAATCCAGAATCGCCGAAGTCCCGACGAGTCCGGATTAACGACTTTTGACTGTACCAGTATTTCACGATGCAGGAACCACAGATTACACAGTACCAATAAGTGTGCATTACCAAGGAAGGCAATTACTACTTCATGGGGTGAGCCATGAAAATAACAGATATGGTTTAATAACACTATTATTCAAAATGCTGGTCTACACAATTTGCAGACCAGCTGTGTGGCATGTTAGTGTGCTATTTAGTGCGTGTGTATGACAAAAACCCTGCACATGAACACTCTGAAGCAACCAAAGCAACTATATATGTAAAATGCACCAGCATAATTAATTTATGTGTGTATATATGTATCAGTGTAGAACTGGCCTGTAATTAACAGTAAAATCATGATAAAATGTTTATCTATTAGTATAAAATGTTTAAATACATGCAACAATGTACACATGTGTAAAACAAACATTATTGCAACAATATAGTCTCAATGTTTAAACCTAGGTTTACATACAAGCACCACAGTGATTTCTGTTTATATATATGCAAAATTATTGGTGTAGAATCGGTGTAGAATTTATATGCGTAACAATGTAAAATTAATGCATTGTTTAAATATCAGGGTAACATTTAAATGCAAAATTAAACATTTTACATTTAATATTATATAAATATATATATATAGTTAAACATTTACGTGCAACAGCGTAAAATAGAAGTTTCTATATCAGTGAATCCTCACCCCACAAGAGTAGAATCTGTATGTGTATCAGAGTAACATCAGCGTAAATATTTAATGATTAGTGCATAATATTTATGTAAAAGCTGCAGCGTATGCATCAATATAAAATTATTATGTTGCATAAAATGTTTAAAAATCAGTGCAAAATTTTCATATTTCAGTGCACAATATCAGCAAATGTTTCCATTAAGCTCCCAGCTTGTACGATGCCCAGGTGTCCGGACTTGCTCTCATCTGTCACCTATAGGCAGATTTTATTAGAACTGAACAATGAAAATACACTAAAGTGCCACTGAATTAGAGATAGCAAGTCAATAATGAGTTGGACTTCCTCTGGCCTTGATAATGGCTGCCACATGATAACACATAAGTTTGCAAAAGTGTTCCACAGGAAGGCTTGCCAAACATCAGCTACAGCTGTCCATAATTCAGGAAGGATCCCTAGTGTTGTGTAATGTGCTTTCACACATTTCTCCAAAACATCCCAGAGGTGCATAATATGATTTGATTCAGGGCTTCTAGGTGGCCAATTCATGACAAAGAAGTCAGAAGAATGCCCATTCAACCAGGCAGTAGTCAACTGGGATGAAAGTTGTCTTTTTAATGTACTGTTACCTTGCTGGAATAAATCACAATGGTATTTTATAATATCTAGTTCTTTATCAAATATTTCTTCCATAGCCTCTTATCTTCTTTTCATTGTATGTATGAATCTTGCTTTCTTGAAACTTTCAGTGCCTTTTACAGAACAAAGCACTACAGCAGATTTACACAAATTTATTTTCGTAACATAAAATCTGTGTAAAGTAGATGCTGGCTTAATTTTATTCGCACATTACTCCAATTATAAGACTTTCAGAATACAAGCCTAATGCCCTCAAATATATTTTTCAATAAGGCATTCTAAATTAGCTAAAAACAACTGGCAATCCTTTCTGATTATTCGCCCCCTGCTGAAAAGTCATGAAAAAGTATTCACAAGACAAAATAATATGTTGTCAAAATAGTTAGGTGTCAACCCATGATGTCAGAAAGAAGTATTTATGCAGCAACCCAAGTACACACCAAGCATGTCTGTTTTGGCCTGTGCACAATGCCAAAATGCAAAAATGCCAAGTTTGTGCAATTCTCTGATGGTTATTTAAGCAAAAACAGAATGCTGTGTACATAGAAAGACAAAAAAAAAAAAAAAAAAAAAAAAGGGGGGGGGGCTCGTTTAAAAAAATGAATTTCTTAAAAAGGTAAGTGCTTTATTCCTGATGTTTCTTCCTTTTTTAATTATATTGAAATTGAATGACTGCTCTTATAAGGAATTCTTGGTTTCTAGGTGAGCCACCATTTTATAAATGAAAGTTGTCTTTTTAACGATAGCTTGGAAAAACTTAGCAATGAGTTTGCAAATGCTTTCCACAGTCAGCAATGAGTTTGCAGCTATTTCATGGGAATGCTGGTAATTATAAAGTGCCCAAATGTCTTGAAAAAATTTAATTTAGAAATAAAAAAACCTAAGATTTAGCTCCAAAGTAACAAAACTTTAAATAAATATAAAGAGATCAAAGCAATATCAATTCTAATATTACCAAGCTTTAAATATATCTGTAATCAACTCACTATTCGGGTTATATTTAATGCAGTCCATGGTAATGGTTTTGATTGAGATTTTTTCTGAAAATAGCATTCAAGTGGTGCAAAAAGCCACAAAAAGGCACAAGGTACCCAAGTAAGCACTGTTGCTTGAAAACATGGTGTTATATCTGGGTTTGTAGAATTCCAAGTTAACTCTGAATCCTATGGAGAAAAAAGAAGAAAAAAATATATTACAATCAAAATCAAATAATAATGATATGAAAACTATGAAATGTTTAGGCTCAATAACATAATCACTTAATTACACTGATTGATAGATAGAAATATAAAGAATACCTAATTTGCACATAAAGTATGCAGGTATCCCTGCATACTATTACGCTAGAGGAAAACAGTAATTGATGGATTACATTTCTATTGTGATTCTTATTATCACATAACTATGCTTTTACATTTTTAAATTCTACATCTGCAATCAGGGATTACACTTTGGACACTGGATTTTAATAGTGAGTGTGGCACTTGCTCTTCATTTGTTATACCCATTTGCTTTGTGCATATTTTCGATTTGCTGTTATTACCCTTTTCTGTTCATTTTACTATTTTGATACCAGATTTTAAATTATACAATGTGCAGTCTCAGTCTCTTTGATTCACAATGATATCGCTGATTCCCACTTCTGAACTGTATAAGGATGCTATAAAAATTTGTATAGAACACACAGTTTCACAGCATAAAAGCTGTTAGTGTTTCGAAGATCACTTACAGATCACATATATTTTTGCTTTGCTGTTCTGCAGTTTACAACAGTAAGAAATGCATCAAGATTTGTAGAGTTGTTTAGTTATACAAAAATTCTTTTTGCAAAAATATGTTGGGAGGTGACTATTTTAGTTCCTGGTTAATTTCCTAGAGAAAATATTACAGTACTATTATTTAACTGTATTTACAGTGGCGGTTAGGGCCTGCGGACGATGGTGCAGATTCCCGGTGAGCCGGAGCGATTTCGAGCCGGTCCCGCGACCCCACCCGCAGTACGACTACACTTCACGATTGCGGTGCCGTGCGCTACAATATAACAAGCGGTAAAGAGTCTCATTTACGCCGCTCCGCATCTGCGAGTGCAAAGCTGTAACTCGAGAAATAAACAATCTCGTTGTTAGGCGACGTGTGCACCACGTTATTTTCATTTTTGCACGCGGTTTGAGACAAAAGCATCTCGACGTGCGTGGCACGTCTTTTCAGCGCAAGTGGTTAAGAAAAATTTGGCCCAGTACAAAGAGGGCATCTCCATGTATTCCTTGCGTCTTCCCTATGGTTTACGAACAGATAATTTTGCTGCATATTTTATACTCCTGTTTTGTATGTTCAGAGAAATGTATTTTTTATTATTAAGGTCAGCGACACCAAAGATAACAGTCAGGACGATTAACTACAAAACTCCGTAGAGGAGACGAGTAATAGTAGTTCAATTATTAATAGAGGTCGCGGTGCTTGGAATTCAAGCATTACAACGTCTGTAAGCTGTTCAACAGTAAGCCGACCGATCGAATCAACACAGTTAACTCGGTGAGACAGCCCTGGGCGTAAGGGAGATATGGATGCGAGGACAGCATATCACACTTGAACTCACACGAGATACGGTAGCTGTAGGCTGTAAGGTAGGGGTAGAATAGAGCCTAAAGTCGACAGTCGTAAAGTAGGTTTATGAAAATACAGTACAGTCACGTTCTAATTTTATTGTGAAATTGAAAATATTTGCATTATAACTGTATATATATATAAAACTCTAGCGAATTTTACAGTGAATAATGCAAGTTGATGACAAAAAATATTGCAGTTGAGTTTATTTTCCATTACCTTTAGATACGTATAATGGATAACCGAAAAATCAAAGGAGGTGCACCGAAACTTTGAGAAAGGAGATAAGAACTAATAAAGCAATCTGCAAAACTTTTGCTAAAAAATCCCGGATATGTATCCTGGATTTTTCAAAACCGGCACCTTCTCCAACGACAATGACTGCGCAAACCACAAGAAGAGACCACCACTTCACACACATTTGAAGCTAAAACATAAAACATATGCGAGGATACTTCGGTGCTTCTAACAACGGACACAAACATTATAGAAAGTATTGCCGTAGCAACAACTAGCGCATCATCATTGTCCTTTTCATACTTATCATCTTTCTATTTTGCATGGCCGACAGGATTTTATCAGTAAACATCTCTGCGACCCTTCAGCTTCAAAACAGTTACCTTTGCTTTCTCATCTAGCATTCTAACGGAGACAATAGAAAATGGTTGAGTTTCTGTAAGGAGACAGAACACTAAAGTATGGACTCGCGTCCCGGATGACCCTTCGGGTTTGCCATATCAGGGTTAAAATACCCCTTCAACGGCGGCGCAGACTCCACAGTACTGCCCGGCTTTATACATAGCCTTGTACAATGTAGAAAACGCTTGACACATAAAGCAAAATTGAACGCTGGATCATCCTTGCCTCCGGGCACCACTCCATCGGCATCGATATAATCGTCTTGGTGCCTTGTTCGCTCTGTCAGTCCCCGTCACTGAGACGAGGCAAAGAAAGTCTATGTTCATTGTCTGAGGTCATTGATTCTTTGTCTGAGGGTTAAACCCCCGTCGACTAAGTCAGTGATCTCCGACCTCGCTCCACAACAGCCAAAGAAACAGACACGACAGCACCAGTACGGTCCCTGCTAAACTTGAACCAGCCTTAGACTGAACTACGGCTCTAGTCCTGTGAAGTCAAATCACTTGGCCCCGTGGTTGAGACTGCCTAAGTACAGATAGCCAGTACTTCCCAGGAATTTTCCTGAGTCAACCCCCGGGAAGGTCCTGTAAAGAGACAAACGGATTATTCTGCTTCATTTATTTACTTTATCCCGACAGCTCTAAAAAAGTACTTTTGTTAATAGCGGAATGAGAGATTGGCGCCATGTAACAGAATGCGTGAATGAACATGAAGCGAGTAAAATTCATAAGAAATGTACAGACGCACATATTATGAATGTACAAGGAAAAGACATATATAGTACTTTGTTCTCAGAAACGTCGACGGTTCGTTAAAAAAATGCAATAGAATGAAAGCGAGCGTTGGAAGTAACTATTAATGTTGTTCAATTTATCGGAAAAAAAAAAGAATTCCTTTCAAAAGTAATAGGAATGAAAATGCGCGAAGCTTAACAGATGTTAATGTTGATCATGGAAATTTATATTAAAGTACGAACCTGTTCTTCAGAGGTATATCAATTTTATAACGAAACATGCTGATCGTCAATGTAGAGGGAGTATAACATTGTTATCTAAAATGATAGATTATATCATAACTAGCATCAAGAATGTCATGAGACGGTTAATGTCAGCTGAGATTCGAAAAGCGAATTTTTTTACTCATTTCAAATTCATACTACGGCTAACATAAATTAAATGGTCCAATGTTCAGTTGTTTTTAGGTATCTTTTTCATATACGGCACAGTGATAGGTATTTTATCTTCTACAGATTCCACTGGACTCGGTATATGCAAAATGATCATCAACTTCTTAGAGAGCATGGACACTGATGTCAGAAAATGTACTAGCAATTCTACAGATGACGCGTCAAATATGCCCGGTGCTTACAATGGTTTTACTAAACGGTTCAGTGAAAAGGGCACCTCACCAAATTCATGTTTGGTGTTACTCCCATGTCTAAATTTAGTACTGGTCGATTCTATGAAGAGTGTTTCAGAAAGAACTTCTCTTCTTTTCCTAATAAATGAGTGTGGCAAATTCTTTAAAGAATTCTATCAGAGAATGGATGTGTGGAGAGGAATGCATGATAAAACCAAATCTAAGAAGCTTCATCTTATCGCTGAAACTAGATGGAGTTCGGAATACTACAGTCTAAAACAAATTTTGGGCACGATCGATCGCAAAGATAATTGTTTATACGTAGAATTAACACTTGCACTCAAAAGTATTGCTTCCAATGACATACAAAATGCATAGATACCACAAATGGCAAAATTTATTCTAGACAAAAGATCAACTTTCAGAATAATTTTGTCTGCTAACATACATTTGAAAATATTTCAATATACTGATCTAGTACCGAAATATTTACAGATTAAAAGATTAGACTACATCCTAGCATACAATACGGTTAGGGAGGGTACAAGCTCTAAAGCCATTTCTAGAAACTTTGATTTAATATTTAACGCATCAAAATCGTTTGCAATGGATTGCAATAATATACTAGAAAGGCTGGGTTATGATATAATCATAGAAGAATTACTAGCTACAAGATGCCAAAAAGTGAAGCAAAGGGACGATGAAGAATCGTCCGACTATAATTTCAATTGCTTCATCAAACAATTCGAGGATACTGCCTTCAATTTTATAATGGATAACACCATTTCATCGATAGAAAGTAAGTTTAAAAACCATAGAAAGTTGCATGAAGACATATTTCTTCTCGAACCCAAAAACTTTTCGGAGCTTGCCGAACTCTTTCGGCTATTTATCTTCTATCATTTTACAAAAGGTTTGTAAAATGGATCCACAAGAGACTTTTTTTTCCTTGACGTCTGTACGTATCTCGCATAACTCAAGAGCGAGTAGCAGTAGAACGTCGAAATTTTGTATATGGGACTGCTATAACATTTCGTTGTGCACCACCACTTTTCGTTGAAATCGGCTGCACCAATCGTATATAAATAAATATATATATATTCCCACTTTGTTACCTGGCTCGGTCAACTTTTTTTAAAATTTTTATATGTTGGCAAATTGTGTTTATTTTTGGTTTAAAAGTGATTGAATTATGTAGCTTTTATGTTCCAATTATGGTTTTTATGCCTTTAGTATGCAATTGATGCAGAATTATCAACAATTTAAAAGTTTAAGTGGCGAGTTAAGCCTAACGAACCACCATTTGTTTATTCATACTCATACACACTACAAATTTAGTAGAATAGTGAATTAAATTAATTTTTGAACCTTCAGTGTATTTTTTCCCAAGTGAAACCAAAGGTTTCGTTTTATGCACCGAAAAATATGCTTTTCTTTTCCGCTGGCCGAATTGCTTGTTTTTGCATAGAAACTGTAATTTTAATTGTAAAAATTGTTTTTTTTTTTTTAACTGTTTTAACTGTATTTGGTGTTTTATGTTTTTCTGTATTTTATAGTTTTT